ATATACATATATGTATTATTTATTACGTATTACTGTGGAGATCATATGTGTGTGTATGTGTGTGTGTGAAAGCAGCAGTGGATCGTGGGCCAACACACTGAGTTTATCAGAAAAAAATTGTTTTGACAGTTTGTTTTAGGTTTTATTCCAACACAACAGAACAAAAACCTTACTTGAAGTTTATTATTCATATTCATTCAGGTTTTATGAGATGTCTGGTGTGTGTGTGTGTGTGTGCGCGCGCGTGCGCACGTTTACAGCACGCTAAAACAAAAATCTGAATAAATTCTTGTTATTGCTGTGTACAGAAAGGTCATGAATGTGTGTTTGTGTGAGAGAGGAATAAACTCAAATGAACAATCAAACATGTCTGTTTATTAAAATATAAATTTTCATCTTTAAATTCTTTAAAATTTACTGAATTCCTTATTCGTACATTTTTTTATATTTTATTGTGTGAACTTCCTGTCASTTTGCCGCTGATGCGCCTGAATTTCTATGAAGAAGATTTCTATTCTAATTCATTTACACTTTTATGAATATCGTACCACATGTTTATCTTTGTTAAAAAACATAAAACAAAACATTTCAGCATGAAAGCTCAGATTTTTAATATGTGACAGTGTCCCGTATCACTACATCTCTGCCGTTTGTAACAAAGCAAACCGTGTGAAAACAGTAAAAATTCATGGAGTTGTGATTATTTTAGTTGGAGGAACAGCTTCCTCAGTGTGAATAACACTGACCCCACCAAGATGGAGGCACACTGAAACATCAGCTGCAGAAGACAGCATCAGTCTGTAGGACTTCTTTGTACATGATGTCTGTGGCTCGATCGTACAAATGGCATTATCTTCCGGTCTTCACAGTAAGTACCTGAACCAAGTACCCGACCCACTTGGAAGGCCGGGTCCTACGAAGGAGGCAGCCCTGAATTTGAACACAGCCCATGATTGACAGGTCTGAAGCAGGAGAATAGAAAAGGGAACTAAATGTTCTAATTAATCACTGTTGTATTACAAACGGCTCAGTGGTTMGCACTGACGCCTCACAGTAAGAAGGTCCTGGGTTCGATCCCCGCTTTGGACCTGGGGTCTTTCTGTGTGGAGTTCTCCTTGTGCTTACGTTAGTTTTCTCTGGGTACTCTGGTTTCCCCCACAACACAAACATGTACAACAGGATTGGTCTGCTTCTGCATCCACCAAACACAGTTCAAACATCAAGCAGTTGAATCAGAAAGTAAACAAACGGTACAAAATGGCGTCAGTGCGAATCTGTAAATACATCTGTAAAATAAAAAAGGGACATTTTTCTTAAAGCAGGTCAAAGCAAATACCAAAATATATTTTAAAGTGTGTTGAAAGGTTTTTTTTACTTGATTTTGACAACTGAAGTCAAATATTTCTCATTATACATACCAGAGGTGCCCAAAGTGGGGCCCGCGGGCCAAAATTGGCCCACCAAACCATTTGATTTGGCCCACCAACAATTGTCCTGGTTATTAGATTGTAATTATGTTCAGATTGAATATAAAATTCAAGTAACTACAAGAGACATTTAGATTAGATTTAAGCCCATATCTAGATTTGCACACCTTAAAAGACCCCCAATTTTTAAATTATGAATAGTTTCATGAGCCTTTGCTGRCATTGCATTGACTTTGCATACATTGAATTTTCTCCATGTCCAAGGGCTAAAAAATGTAGGCAACCACACTAGCTCCTAGCTTAATCATAAAAATAAAACAAGTTTACGTAAGAAGTATTTGCATTTCTTATATTATTGCATTTGGCCCGCAACCCTCAGATCAATTTTAGTTTTGGCCCTCTTAGGGAAAATGTTTTTTTTTTTTTTTTTGGCCCTTTTAGGGAAAATTTTTGGGCAACCCTGATATATACATACTGTATATATGGTTACAAATAAATGTTTGGGTAATTCTTTGAAAGAACAAACATTCAAATGCAAATCTTTTGAGGCAAATGAGAAAAAAGAAATAACTTTTGCAATTAAAAACTTAAGATTTCCTAACATTTATTGATRGTACCGSCATGGTCCATCCTGTGCAGAATGACAAAACGCCAAATTATTTCTTTACTAAAACCTCTGTAACTTTGTGTTAGTTTATTTAAGCAGCATGAATCTTTGCACAGGTAATGTCCACATGTGGACTTATGGGTTTAGGCTGATTTATTATAGTTTTAAATGGGTTATATACAGTCAAATGCAAAAAAAAAAAAAAAAAAAAGAAAAAAAAAAAATCTTCAGACAGGAGGGAAAAAGTTTTTAAAAAATTCTGTTCCATCCACACTATCTCTACAACAACAGTAAATGCTGTGGTATTTACACTTCTGATTAAATCTCCCAAGTGTTCGTTTTATTTTGATACGAAGAATATTTAAGTAGAGTTTGTAAATGTTGAGATACACTCACTTACATTTTGGCATGTTATATTGAGCAAAAACATCAAGAAAACCCCTTTTGGGGCTAAAGCAATAAATGTTTTTTAGTAAAGTTTGTACACGGTACTGCAGGGTTGAAAGCATCAGGGATCATTCCTTTGTGGTCCAAAACTAAAATGTTTGGAAGCCACTGATCTAAACTGTGTTGTAAATAATCTGTGTGCACAACTTGACATTATACTGGTACCAGCACCAGCTAACCGTAGATAACATTTTGATAAAAAGACAGTGATCAGTTTTATTGATTATCTTGTAATAAGCTCACTCTATACATTGTTCAAGCAGCTTTGTAACAAACGGCTGCTGTCTAAATCCACCAGACGAAAAACATTTTCTTATATACTGGAGGCAAACTGAAGAAAAAGAAGAAGAAGGAATTGTTATTGTCATTCTACCATGGACAATGAAATAACAGTAAAAACTGCTTTTAGCATGAAAGCAGAATGTGCGTCTATGGAGCTCGTRTTGTGTGAACGACATGTTAATAAAAAAATTTAAATGAAAACTAAGGTTTGCTTTTAAAAAAAGTTTGCAAATCAGTTTAAGATTGTGACTCAAAGATTGTGGCTTTTATTTTAAATAATTTTACAACGTTAGAGTGAAACTGAATTTATCTAAGTGAGCAATTTTTTTTACTCAATTTCAGTAAATACAAGAAAAAGTTAATTTTTCTCGCAACTTTTTTAATATATATAAAACGTAATTTTTTGTTTAAAACTAAATAAATAACACGCCACAATGCAACATCAAATGTGTGTGTAAATAAAAGTGTAGAAATTGTTTTAATCTTATTTTACCGTTCAAGTAGATTTTTGCGCAAATTTTATTTAGCAGGAGAGGCGGTAAAATGTCTTCTTTCTAATTGTAAAATTACAAAACCTCCAAATCAAACTGGAAAAACAGCAACACAAGAATCTCATGGACTTCCCAGTCTTAATGTAGAGCTCATTGTTTACTTTTTACAACCATAAAAACAGTGTGGGTTTTTACTAAATCCATCAGCATCTGTGTCAACATAATATCTTCCTTCTACAGCAAACTATTTTTATGATTTGAGGCTGAACTAGACTACACACAGAAAGCTTTCCACGCCACTTTGGCGCCTCCTCATCTGAGTTTCAGTTTTTCTTCTATAGCCAGAGTTCGTTTTAGTCAGCGACTTTACCTAAAACCCTTTGGGCCACATTTAAATCAATAAAACATTGAGGTTCCCATTTATAAGCGGAGGAACCACCAGCTAATTTGCTGTCCAAGTCATCGAATGCAGAGGTACAGAATATACAGCGGAAACCCTTGTTCTATAAAACATCCAGCAAACAACACGCTATCAACTCAACATGGGATAAAACGCTCCAACGACAGGAACTGGTTTCCAGAATGAGACTATACTCACAGCCATTTGATGCCCGAGCAGAAGTGAGCCAGCAGCAGAGCTGTGAGCACACCCAGAGGCAGGGCATGAGAGCTGCTCCTCATCATGGACCGAGGCTCCGCTTCACACAAACACAAAGGGCTGTCGGCTCACACTCACAGGTCAAATGTCATGGCACGGGTCCCCGGCTCAATCCTGGAACAAATCACACAGAGTGTGTATGAAAGGCCGCATGCTGAAATGAGTGGCACACGATAAAAGTCTGTGCGAGCAATGAAACAGTAATAATTCCACAGTGCAAGGAAAAGAGGCAGTGAAACGGCAAAAAAAGGAACTACTTTTCTTTATCTAAAAAGAGAAAACTTTATCTCTACAATGTCTTCATTCCATTACAGGGTAGCCTACATGAATTTTTCATTTAAAAATTTCAATTTTCTAATTTCTTGGCTGGTTTTCATCCCATCTTTACTTTCTGAATAGAAAAACTATCATTTCACAACAAAATGTTCTACTGTTGTCTGGCTTGCTTTGTTTTTATGTTAAATGCAAAAGCACATGGAGAAAACAAAGCAGCAGTTGTGATCGGCCTCTGTGTTTTTGTCTGTTAGCAAAATATCTCACAAACCTGCACTCTTTATGAAACTGTTAATCACCAGATGTTGATTTACAGCCGATCACCTTCAGGAATCATCCGTTCAACGTAGCCGCCACGGCTAACAGAACTTAATTATAAAAATAGCTTCAGCTCAGTCAGTTTAACTGATACGAACTGAGACACATCCTTAACATATTCTAACACTAACAGAGTGCACAAGATATTCCTTTAAGAGTTAAATAAACACTTTCATTTGTAAGTTAAGGGTTCAGATTAGTTCTATACAGAAATATCAAACCTTCAGTCAGTAATTTATAAAATGATCTCTAAAACACTGATTTATAATGGAAATGTCCATATCTTATATCAAAACATCGCAGAAAGTGCTCAGTTGAGCAAAGTTATTTTAGCTTTTCAGATATTTATCTTGGAAACACAAATATATTTCCAAACTCTTGTCCTTTGAGACCTGCAACATATAAAGTCAGATYCCAGAGTTTTGTGTAGAAACCCTGGCATTGTAAAGACAATCCACAGTGAATCCACTTTTACAGGCCAATAAACACACAAAGACGGCAGCTGTGAAACCTAAAGACAAAAGACTGTTTAGCATCCAGACAAAGATGTTAATTCTGTGCTCAGCTTTTCTCTTTTGTAATTAAAAACAGGTCATTATTGCACAAATTGGCATCTAACTGGAATTAGGATTAGATTTTTATGTAGATGCAGGATATTTAATTTAAATCCTGGTTTCTCGTGCTCCACGTGGGGAAAGGTCCCACATTAACGGGACAGCAGCTCCTCAGGTGGTGATCAGAGGACAGCTGATAAACTGAAGGCAGCTTTCATCGAGCTCGTGAGGCTGATAACCGATCCGTTTGAAGTCGGCTCAGGTTCTCGTCGCTGATTGGCTGAGACCAGCTCGAAACTGAATAATCCTGATAAATTAATTACACCGAGCAGAAACACACCGCACGGATTATCAGGCTTTACCAGACCTGAGAGGAAAAAACAACAGGATCTGTAGCCTGTCATTAATTATTAATGAAGGATGGAGCTGAACAAAGGCTTAAATGTGAGTTCTGACTTTTTTTTAGCCTGAAGACAAAAAAATGGACCCGAGCTGCTCCTAAATAAAGGTTTACAAGTCAAAACACTTTACAGTGTCAAAGTGTTTACAACCATCCCCATTAAACCAAGTTACAGAGCACATTATGTTTATGAAACTGAGATTTAAATAAATGCTATTTTAGATATATAAAAACAACAGCCAACTTCTAACTAACACATTCTACAATTAATGGATTAAAAAACTTTTACATTTCTTGATAAAAAACAAAAGTATGATCATATAAATGATCATAAAGTCACTTTTAGACGCCTGTTCCTTCAGCTTGTTTTATTCTCTGAATCTGCAGGTCCTGCTGAGTTTATTCTAATGAGAAATAAATCTCTGCAGCAGCAGCCAGCAGCAGCAGCAGCTCTCCTCGGTCTGATCTGCTCCTCCTGCAGCTCACCTTCTCCTCGGCGCTCCCTCCGCTCAGCCAGCCGCAACAGGCGAGAACAAGAAAAAACAAAACCAAATGTAAAGTCCAAATATGTGAGCAGAAGATCCTCTCTCTGGGGTCAGCCCGATCCCGCAGTAAAATCCAGCTCTGGGTGGGAGATGAGCTCCGGACAGGTAGGCATGGTGCGGATATGTGAGCGGGGGTCGGTTCCAGAGAGGTCGGACTGAAGAGCAGTCAGTGTGTGAGTGAGGGGGGGCAGACTCAGCCCTGAAGTAGTCCTGACCCGCTCACATCTCACTGCTGATGTCAGAGAGGCATTAGCATAAAGACCAGGCTGAGTTTACCTTCACAAGTCCTCAGAGAGCTGCAGTGATGACTGCTCCATGTGTTCACCTGATTTAATGACTGCTTTATGGTTTCTCTATTATTATTATT